TCTACTTCTTCTCTCTAAAAATCAAACTATTAAAAACCAAAGAGAGTGCAGGACACTATGCTCTGGCACAAAAGACTACCCAATTCCTTATGTATTAATAATAGTTGAGATTTCACATCACTAATTATGAAGTAGTCAATATGCTAAATGCCTTACATTCATACTCTTGTTTCTTAAAACAGCTTTGAGGTCTAATTTACATAAATAAAATGCACCCATTCCAGAGTGTACTTTGATGAGTTTTGTTGACAGCCGCATACACTCATGAAACCTCTGTAATCAAGAGAGAGAACATTCCCATTAGCCTCAAAAGTTTCCTTGCTCCCTTTGCAGTCCATCACTCCCCCCAAGCTGGCTCAGGAAATCACTTACCTGCTATCTGCCACTTAGAGATGACTTTGCACATAATCTCACTTAGTTCTGTTAGCAACCCCATCAACTAGACATTATCCCCCCTTTTTTTAAAAATATATTTTATTGAATTTTTACAGAGAGGAAGGGAGAGAAATAGAGAGCTAGAAACATCGATGAGAGAGAAACATCGAACAGCTGCCTCCTGCACATCTCCTACTGGGGATGTGCCCGCAACCCAGGTACATGCCCTTGACCGGAATCGAACCTGGGACCTTTCAGTCCGCAGGCCGATGCTCTATCCACTGAGCCAAACTGGTTTTGGCATTATCCCCTTTTTATAGGCTCAAAGCCAGGCTGGGAGAGATGGAGCACCTTGTTGTAGTCAGACACGTAGCTTTGTTTGGCTCATCAACATAGGAGGCATCAGTGCTCCACCACCTAAACGAATCTCGGGGTGGAGGTTCTCAAATTGTTGTTGACTTAGTCTGGCTTTTCAGGATTCTAGAAAGATTGTTACAACCTTGGTTAAGCCTGGCTATCCAAGTGGGCATGTTTCTGGACCTCTCACAGCCTGTTTTCCTCATGTGCACTTGAGGACAGCAACAGTCCCTGCTCTATAGGATTGCAATGAGCATTACACGAGATGATCCCTAAGGAAGGGGTGAGCAGGGCCCAGAGAGACAGCATCCATTCATTCACTCACTCATTTGTTTACTCTGTTAGCATACATTGAGGACCCACTAAGTATCTGCACAGCTCTGCGCCGTGGGTGGTCCGTGGTAAGCCTGAAGCATGTGGGCTGCCTGGGAGCCTACAGTTCATGCTCCATCAATATTAGACATTGTTATTAGCAGTACTCAGGTTAATCTGTGTCCAAGTAGAGTTACAAAGGAAGGTGTGTGCAGAGGCAAGGAGATGGATGTGAGAAAGAATGATGGGGATCCAGAGAGTGACAGGCAGGGAGCAGGGAGGAGGGGGAGCAATTTGTCCTCTCGGGTTCCCACAAGGAGCCAGTTCAGAAACACATGGAAGAGGAAATGTGATGAAATCTCCTGAGGAAAATCCAAGGCAATCTCAGGATTGTTTTACAAGAATAAAAATCGCTGCTCGGGGAATACTCCTTGGGCTGAAGTGAAAATATTTGTGAAGCGTGATGTCATGTGTTTAACCTGTTCTGCTTTACTGAAGGGGAAAGTGGAGATGACGTTGGAAATCCTTAATGAGAAGGAGGCCGATGAGAGGCCAGCCGGGAAGGGACGGGATGAACCCAACATGAACCCCAAGCTGGACCCACCAAAGTGAGAGCCCTCTTTGTTCTCAGCGTCCTCTCATCCCTAAACACCTGCAGACCGAAAGCCCCCCTTCCAATTGGCTTAATAGACTGGATTAGCTCTTGTCCTTCTAATTTTGTATTTAATAGTGGGGGCCGGGGGTAGAAAGGCTGGTGATCTGGCTTTATTTTCATCACTCTCCTTTCCATTGAAACCAACATCCAGGGTGATCTTCAACATCTTAGGAAGTTATAAAAGGTTCAAGAATCTTTCTTTGCTAACTGAGGGAAATAATATCTTTTCTTGACTTTGTGTTATTAACATATGTTTTAAATGGCGTTATGCCCTGCAGTGAAATGTCTGTCCCTCCTGAGCTGGGTAGGTAAAACCATTTCTTTGCAATGCAGCCGACCGGAAACCTCCTTCCTCTGGTTCACCAACCCGTGTAAGACCATGAAGTTCATCGTGTGGCGCCGATTCAAGTGGGTCATCATCGGCCTGCTGTTCCTGCTGTCTGTTAGCTGCCTGAGCGGCCGGGATTTCTCCGCAGCTGCCTCCTCTCCCTCCCACATCCTGCTCCTTGTCGGCTGTGTGTGTGTGTGTGTGTGTGTGTGTGTGTGTGTGTTTGTTTGAACCGTGGTTGGTCATCTCACTTGGTACTTACTTGCCTTGGATGCTGCTCTTCAGAAGACTGACTTACTTAGGAGTTGTGGTCTCACAACCCTTCAGCCTTTGGAAAATTTAAAGTAACGTGTCCTGTGGTTAGAATTGCATGCTTATGGTTTCACGAATTCCAGGCAAAACTTCATGGCCTGAAAATAATTTTGGTGTCAGGAATTCTAGGAGAAATCTCTCGGGCCTTTATCAATATATGTCTGGACTATAGCCAGCATTTCTAACTGATCTGCCTGCCTTCAGACTCCTTGTCCTACCTAGCATTCACAGATTTCCAAATCTGGGACCCTTGTACGTTTACACAAACCCTGAACTCCACCCAAACTAGATAATAACACCACCCCCCCCCCCCAACAAGTATTGCTCTTACCTGCCAGGATGTCTTTGCCAGTGCTGTTCCTTTGTCCATGTTTTGTCTCTCAACATCTTATTCATTGTTTAAGACCCACATCACATAACCTCCCCCGTAACTTTCTCTTAAACATCCCAGTCATAAAGGAAGGTCCAAGTGGGGATTTAACCAGTTTGCCTACAAGTAGTGCTTTCATTCCACTATTCAAGGAATTTATTGGGTATCTACCATAGGCTAGGAATTGGGGTACACACATAACCAAGGCATAATTTCTGCCCGCAAGTAGTTCATAGCCCATAGACATATGAACAAGTAACCTACTATGTGACAAACTGCAATAGAGATATCAACAAATAACCACAAGACCCAATTGCTGAGAATGGTTTCAACAAGGTGGGGACATTAAAGACCAGTTTGCCAGGCATTCAAATACTCTTACTTCAATTCATCCTATATAATAAAAAGGTAATATGCAAATTGGCCACTCCAACACACAAGATGGCCACCCCTATGTGGTCAAAGATGGCCACCCCAAGATGGCTGGCAGGGGAGGGCAGTTGGGGGCAACCAGGCCTGAAGGGGAGGGCAGTTAGGGATGTCCAGGCTGGCAAGGGAGGGAAGTTAGGGGTGACCGGACCAGCAGGGGAGGGCAGTTGGGCGGGGCGGCCCAGGCCTGCAGGGGAGAGCAGTTGGGGGCGACCAGGCCTGAAAGGGAGGGCAGTTGAGGGGGACCAGGTCTGCAGGGGAGGGCAGTTAGGGGTGATTGGGCCGGCAGGGGAGGGCAGGTAGGGGCAACCAGGCCTGCAGGAGAGGGAAATTGGGGGTAACAAGGCCTGCAGGGGAGGGCAGTTAGGGGTGACCAGGCCAGAAGGGGAGGGCAGTTAGGGGCAATCAGGCTGGCAGGGGAGCAGTTAGGCATCGATCAGGCTGGCAGGGGAGTGGTTAGGGGGTGATCAGGCTGGCAGGCAGAAGCGGTTAGGGACAATCAGGCAGGCAGGCAGGCGAGCGGTTGGGAGCCAGCAGTCCTGGATTGTGAGAGGGATGTCTGGCTGTAAACAGGCAGTCGGACATCCCTCGAGGAGTCCCAGATTGGAGAGAGTGAAGAGGGTGCAGGCTGGGTTGAGGGACACACACACACACACACACACACACACACACACACAACACACACACGTGCAGGAATTTCATGCACCAGGCCTCTAGTGTTAATCATAATAGAGTAGTTTGTGTTGAGGAGCATAGCCACACAACCACAACAGCTGTGATGTCATATCTTTAGTTCCCCCAGGATAATACTTTCAGTTTCACTATAAGTACGTGCACATTATTTTCTAGTTATAGGTCAATCTGTCTTGACCATTTAAAAAACTCCTCATAGTTATTTCTTTTGCTTGACCTAGCTCCTATTGAATAGTGGTTCTCACCTGGGGGAGATTTTGCTCCCCAGAGGTCATTTAGCAATGTCTGGAGACATTTTGTCACAACGGGGTGTGCTACCTACTGGTATTAGTGGGTAGGGGACAGACCAGGGATGCTGCCGAACATCCTGCGACGTCCAGGACAGCCCCCAACAAGGAGGAATCATCTGGTCCTAAATGTCAATGGTGTCGAGGCTGAGAAGCCCCTCGCTTAAGTATATATATTTTACGCTGTCTTTGCTTCCTTTCCAGAACTATTTGTCAATGAAGATCGTGAGGCCAAACGCATAATAAAAGCCAAAGTTTCTTTGCAAGAGTCATCAGCAAGGAGGGAGCTCTGTCTGTGTTTCTGGACCAAAAGCAAGAGCGATTTTGTCTGTGTCTGAGACGACATTCCAAGGGCAAGTTACACTACTTCACCGAAGCCTGGCAGCTCCCCGGGGGTGCGGGTCCTGGAGGCCAAGCCAACAAGCAACACTTTTATCTTCTAAAGTATTAAAACTTTTACCATGTTTTTCGAAATATTTTTCAAGGTGGCTGGTTCCATTTTAAGAAATCGTCTTTTTTTGTATGTGTTCTTAGTTATATAATTCAATCTTTGGAAAGTGCTGAAATAGAATTTGAAAATTCCTGCATCTTGACCTCATAGTCTTCTTACTTGTAATCAACAGAAAGGACTGTGCATTATAAAAGCAGAATAGTTAGAGTTATTCTTGTTATGATTATTTTATATGGATAAATACCACGATATTTTATATGGATAAATGTTTATCAACCTCTGTGATAAAACTAAATAAAAGCATTGCACTTTGAACACATAGCTGTCTGGTGTGGCTGTGGGCTAAGTTCGGAAGGAGACAGTTTCTCTGGGTCTTAGGGGATGAAATGCCACAGCATATCACCTGGCCACAAGCCCTTTATATGTGTGCTGCCAAACCTTGGCCAGTGGGTCACACTGAGGCTGATTCTATATAATAAAGAGCTAATATGCAAATGGTCATCACGTCCTCGTGCCCTCAAACCCTCGTGCCCTCAAACCCTCGCGCCAGGGCTGGGGGACCTGAGGTCTCACCCCCGACCCTGCTGGGCTTGACAGAGTGGGGCTGGCCGGGTGTGGGTCTTGTGTGATTTTGAGGCATATGTGGGTGGGTGGGGACTTGACTCTGGGTCCCGTGGTGTGCCCCAGACTCTGACAAGAGGAAGATTTTCATATGCATTTTATTAATTTTCTTTCATCTCTAACACTTTTATTATAGAGAAAGGGCAAATAGTAATATTAAAATATTTCCTCTAATTAATTCCCTTTTAATGTGCATGAGTTTTGTGCACCAGGCTACTAGTATAATAAATAACAAAAGCTAACACTTATTTTAAAATACTTATTCTGTGCACAACATTGTTTTAAGTGTTGCATGTGTTACTCATTGAATCCTCAATAAGGGTAGGTAACATTATTACCCTATTTTACAGTTGAAGAAATTAAGGCAGACAGAGGTTAAGTAACTCACCCAAGGCCACACTACCAATGAATGGTAGAGCTGGAATTTGAACCCAGCCAATCTGGGTTCTTTCCTTCTTTACTGCTTTTAACCACCAATAGGAGGGCTGTCCAGAGGAGAAGCTGAGATGGTCACGTGGTGTGGCAACTGAAACCCAGTGTGGCTCCCATGCCAACACCATCAGGGTCAGCATGCGGCATAAAACATGTGAATACATTATCCTGTTCATATAACAGACTGTGGCGAGATCTGCAACAGTTCTATTCAAGGAGCAACACAGAACTGAGGGAACAAGAAATGGTATGAAAATGGTGATTTTTCTTTTACCACAGTTGACTGTCTTGGCATTATTGTTGATTGTTTCATATTTTGAACATTTTAATTCCCTTCAAGATTCTGCCAAAAATCTTAGCATTCAAAGTGTGTTCAACACATGAAAAGGTTGAGACCCACGGCGAGCTCAATCGGAACACCTGCCACAACTCTGGCCCCTATGGTCTCCTCACGCAGTCCGCACAGGTTGTTCTAAGATCACGTCATCTCGCTTACAATTACCACAGAGTCTACAGCTTTTATATAATTCAGGGAACACTCTAATAATGAAAGGGAGACAGTTTTATTTAAAATGGTGTTTGTTGCTTTAGCTGGCTTGGCTCAGTAGATAGAGCATTGGCCTGCGGGCTGAAGGGTCCCAGATTCGATTCCAGTCAAGGGCACATGCCCAGGTAGCAGGCTTGACCCCCGAATCAATGATTCTCTCTCATCATTGATGTCTCTCTCTCTTCCTCTCTGAAGTCAATAAAATACTTTTTTTTAAAATGGTGTTTGCTAGGGAAAAAAGTAGGCTCTGCAAAAGGACAAAGTTGTTCCAGGCAAAGTTGCTATTTGGAATATTTAAGCATCAGTATGATCAGAGCAGAAGCTTCACCCATCACAGTGGGTAATGGCTATTAAAACATTAGAACAGCCGTACCAGTGTGTGCAACCCTAGCGTTAATCTGCAGGGACCCACAGGACACTCTCCCATCGTGCCCCACTCCAGTCACGCCTGCTGAGCAGAGAAATGCCTGGCTGTGAGGGAAGCCTTTGCCTCCTTTCCTCCGGCTACCTATCTGGGAGCCGCCAGTGCAGTTCCTTTGAGTGCCTGGCAGCAAAGCTCTAGGAATGAACTAATTCCCAGAGAGAATATCCAGCCAGGCTTTCTGGGTACTACTCCCCCCTTTCCTCTCCCAGCCCCCTCCTCAGCCCGCCCCACACCCGCCCAGAAAGCTCCATCTTGTCAAAAGATAATGGTCCCTCATTTGAGGTTGTTAGCTGCCTGGTGACCTATAAATGATCGCTAAAAGCTGGAACTCATCACAGTCCGGTCAGACTGTCGCTTCACCGCGAATTAAAGGACACTTAGTGCTGACTGACTCTAGCAAGTGCCACCATTCACGACAGAGCCTTCACGAGGAAAACAAATCTCCATTACTGTCTGGAGGGCGACAGGAAGCTGGAAATCCTGGCAGCCTGACACTTGATGTTGTTTTGTTCTCCCTTTCTCCTTTTAAGGCCCGAAAGAAAGAAAGAAAAAGTCACCGTTAGACCTGTACATTGCTTTCAAGAGCTATTGGCGGGGTGGGCAGAGTTCCGAAACCCATTTGGAGAGGGAGCAGAGGGAGCTGCACAGTCTGGCCTCCCAGGTGCTGCCCAGGCCAGCTCCTTGCCCTCCGATTTCACCCGGCTCAGAGCAGTGTTTGTCCAAAGACTGGAGCTCACTTGTTTCCCTGTGTTGAGCAGATGTTATTACAAACACAACCAGAAGGCGAGGGGGGCTTTCCTGAAGCGTCTGTGCAGTTCAGAGAAAGTACAACTTGAAGATCCTTTGGGGAGCCAACATGGACAATGACTGCAAAGCTTGAAAACCCTCTCCCATTGAAAGATTTCCTGCTAAACAGATTGCTCTGGCCCACCCGTTCATTCCGAAGAAGGCTGTTCAAAGTCGGCTGGATGTGGAATCAGTTCAGAATGGGGTCGATGTTGTAAATAGATGAAGCACCCGCCATCTTTGCAGCTGAGTTTTGTGTTTGTTCAGCGTTGAACGGCCACTCCCTGATCTTCCTTAGGGTAAGCAGAATGGGGTCCCCGGGAAGATCAAAGGAGGCTGCTTTCCCCGTGGATGTACATGCCCGAAATGAAATGCCAGAGTTCATGAAGTTCAAGAAAAACAAGAGAAACGTGTAACGCAGACTAACGGCAAAACCCTAATGAGGAAGGGAACATAATGAAAAACACAGGCCCGCCATCTGCACGGCCAAACTCATAACTTCAAGGGTACGACTGTGTAGGACATGCAGACTCGAGACTTTTTACTATTTAAATAAGCTGAACAAGAAAGAAAAATCATAGGTTTTTTTTTTTTTTGACTCCCACGGAGTAAATTGAATGCTTCTCAAGGCAAACTGATTTTGCCAAAATTTATCTCGACTCCTTAAAAAGGCCCATTCAGTCCTTGACTAATATTAATGCGCGACTTCCATGTGTTTTCACAAAATCCTAGAGCCAAACCCGTAATCCTCTCCCCATCATATTTCAGCGAAGTCCTGCCCCGGCAATGATCAGGAGGAGGACCAGCGTATCCAGCTGGATTCAGAGGCGGCACTGGGTCAGCGGGATAAACAGAATGAATGAATGGAATCCTGTCTTAGATGCGCAGGAGTGCGGGGCCAGGGGTTTCAGACGTCTGGAAGCCTGTAAGCTCACCCCCGCATGGTCACAGTGCAATGCTGCGACTACGCTCATCTCTCTGGCTTCCTGTCCCTCCTTTGTGATCTCATCTGTTTTGTTTTACGTCTCTGCTTATCTGTAGCTCAGTTTCCTCATCTATAAAATTGGGACAATCGCCCTAGCTGGTTTGGCTCAGTGGACAGTGTGTCAGCCTGTGGACTGAAGGGTCCCAGGTCCGATTCCGGTCAAGGGCACATGCCCAGGTTATGGGCTCAATCCCTAATAGGGAGTGTGCAGGAGGCAGCTAATCAATGATTCTCTCTCATCATTGATGTTTCTATCTTTCCCTCTCCCTTCCTCTCTGAAACCAATAAAAATATATTTAAAAATTGGAACAATAATTTCCATAGAATGATTGAGGAGATAAAGTGATTTAAAAGATGTACAGTACAAAATTGGCTGGAGTCACATGCCTGCCAATTCACCATAGCCCCAGGTACCTGCCACCCTGCCCAGCTCCTCAAAATGCTGAGTGTGGGACTCAGACAAATTTTTTTGTACAAGTACCCAGCATAGAATCAACTCGAAGCCCCCGGCTGAGGACTGTCTTGACCTATCTCCACCATGACAGCCAAGGCCCCACCCTGCTCCATGGGGACTTCAGGGAAGCTCCTCTCTCCCTCCTGGACCCTCCTCCCCTCCCCACTCGCCCAAGTCAGCCATGACTCCAAGGTTCAGGGAAATCTAATTACCTTCAAACGAGCTTCTCTCAGCAAAGAAAATTTCAACAGCCAAGATGCAAAGAAACCCACTCTCAGTAAGAAGAGAAATACCAAGTATAGCCACAAGGAGACATCATTTCCCACCCTCCAGGTCGGCAAAAAAGCTTGAAAGGGACTCACGAAGGATGTGAACAATATCTTCTTCTTCTTCTTGACACAGCTAGTAGGAAGATACATTGGGAATCAGTCCCAGTGGAAAACAGTGTGGCATCGTCCAGTGACATTCCTGCCCTCTGATCCAACAACTCCACTCCACTCCACTCCACTTCTACAGGGTCTGTACCCTAGAGACACTTCAACACATGTGTACCTCGAGACAGATTGTAAAATGTTGGAAACAGCCAAACCCTACTGTCTATTAACAGGCATTGCATGATGCATTGAGAGGTAGGTCTAGAATAAAACACTATGAAGCAGTGAAAGTGAATGGAACTCAGCTTCATGCGACAATAGGAATAAACCCTGGGAACAGTGCTGAATGGAAGAACGAGTCGGTATAAAGCGGGAGCTTCCAGTCCTTCCTTCCCAAAGGTTAGAAGGAGCACAGCTGTTAAAGCAGGGCAAGGATCAAATTGGTTTTAAAAGGCTTAGTTGGCTGATTGTCATCCCATATACTGAGCCATCTCCATCAGGGCATGTGGTCAGGGCACATGCCCAGGTTTGGGGCTTGATCCCCAGTAGGGGGCATGCAGGAGGCAGCCTATTAGCCGACTGATGTTTCTCTTTCTTTCTCTCCCCCCCTCCCTCTCCCTTCATCTCTCTCTAGTCAATAAAAACATATATACTAGGTGTGCCAGTTAATAATGCAGATTTTTTTCAATAGATGGA